CCAGAATCTTCTAAGAATGAGGAAATACTCAGATCAGAGGAAACCGGTTGTGGTCCAGACCCCCAAATGCTGCAACTTTTTTCTTTCTTATAAAGGACTTTGTGGGGCAGTTAGTGAGTTTAGAACGAGGTCTGCTGACCATAGAGCCCTGCCAGTGTTCATGTTAATTGTGCACTGCGGCTAAGTAAGAGAATGTCTTCGTTTTTTAGAAATTTGTTCGTCGAAATCATGCAGGTAAGAGTATAATCTCTGCTGTTCAGTCTCAAATGTTTTAGAAAAAACTCTTGACTGTAAGTGGTGGCTCACACCTGTAATCTCGGAGCTTGGGAGGCTGAGGGGGGCCACAAGTTCAAAGCCAACCTGGGCTACAGTGCAAGAGCCAGTCTCAAAAAGCAAGCAAACAAAATTACATGACATACACACACATACACACAGGAGACAGAATCAGACCGATTGTGTGGTAAAAGAGATAGGTATGGTGAAATATTAACCCTCATGATTTATGAGGAAGATTGTGGAAATTCTTCGGACGGTTTTTTCAGTTTTTCTGCAAGTCTTAAGTTATTTAAGAGGAGTGTTGCAAAAAGGGGTGCATAGATAGGCTCCAACACAGATAGGCTATCCACACATGTGCGATAAAGGGTTCATTTTTAAAGTGAACAAAAACTCCACATCAAAAAACAGAACAGTGAGTGGGACTACTATTTAAACAGACACCTTGTCGAGGAAGATACAAGCGATAGGAAATCTACCCATGAAAAGTATCCAATGCACTGGTGGTAAAAACTCTAATAAGGTTAAGATGCAAATTAACATTACAGCGAGTTACTAGTGTACACCCCCTAGAATAACTAGTGTCAACAAAACTGGCAGCTCCGGGTCTTGGAAGTGATGTGGGACAATGGTCTCACGCATTGGTGTTGGGAATATAATGAAGTGAGTTCATTGTGCCATTCTTACACACATCCCATTATAATTTATTTTTACTCACTCCTCTCCCCTGCTTCCCCTCCCTCTTGCTGGCCCTTTTAATTTCCCTGTTGTCCCGCCTGCTTCCATGGCGTATACACCTTATTACCTTCCCTTTCCCCTCCCCCTTGCCCTCTAGACCTCGTCTTCCTCCCTCGTGTGTCTAATGCCCATTCTAACTTTTAGGGTATTTTTATTTACTCTGACAATTTCATACATGTGTCTTGATCATGCCCTCACTCCCCCCAGACACCCCCTTCAACACACCCTTCTCCTGCTTTACTGCTCTTGTCTGTTTGGCTTTGGTTTCTGTAGCTCACCGTAGTTGAGTGACTGCCAGGATGGTGACAGGGATCCTGGCTTGGCTTGGACTTGTGCAGATGATCACAGCTGCCGAGGGTCCCCACATACAGCAATCGGGTTCCTAGTGCTCCTCCTGTCTTGCCTTTTGGCTTTTACAACGATCTGTCTGCTCGTCATCCACCGTGTCCCCTGAGCCCTGAGGTGGGTGTGTGTGGCACAGAGGTCTCACTTAAGGCTGGACACCCGGTGATCACTTCGTCCCAGCGTTTCTACCAGCTCTGTGTCTTTACCTTGCTTCCTGCTGCAGAAAGAGGCTTCTCTGGGCAAGGCTGAAAGCGTCACTACCCACTGGGTATAAACATTAGTAGTGAGAGACAATTTGGGGGCCCGTGTATGTAAATTAAATCTGCAGGATAGAAAACGAATGACATAATGCTTTCTGAGCCTGACTTGTTCACTTAGCGTGGTGATCCGCAGTCCACCTATTTATTCCTGCCAGGTTCATAATTATACTCATCTTTACAGCTGAATGAAGTTCCTGTGTGTGCGTGTGTGTGTGTGTGTGTGTGTGTGTGATTGACTGTGTGTGTCTGTGTGTGATTCACTGTGTGTGTGTGTGACTGACTGTGTGTGTGATTGACTGTGTGCATGTGTGTGATTGACTCTGTGTGTGTGTGTGATTGACTCTGTATGATTGTGTGCATGTGTGTGATTGACTGTGTGTGTGTGTGTGTGATTGGCTGTGTGTGTGTGATTGACTCTGTGTGATTGACTGTGTGTGTATGATTGTGTGCATGTGTGTGATTGACTCTGTATGTGTGATTGTGTGTGTGTGTGTGCATGCGTGTGATTGACTGTGTGTCTTTGGGAGTGGGGCTTCCAAGTCTGTGTCATCAATAGGGTCATTTAGAGACACATTAACCTTCAAACCCCCACTGTAGGTGATCCCTCAGTGTGATCTCTGAGGTGATCTCTGCAGCCGTTTAAGCCCTTACAAGTCATGTGATATTTGCACAGGACGCTGTGCCCACCCTCCTGTAAGGAGCTTTACAACCTCTGGACCACACAGTTCCTAATGCAAAGTGAATGCTGCGTAAACGGGTGTTCTACTGTATTCTTTAGGGGAAACTGATAAGAACAAAGTCTGTACACACTAGCACAGACACATTTTCCCCTGCATATTCTAACTGCGGCTGGTCAAATCCACAGGTGTAGAACCTGTCTTTGCGTGCAGAAACTGACTGTGATCATCGTGTTCCATGATTCCTAGAGTCCTCTTTGGGAAAGGATTGAGACTTATATGACATTATATATAACATATTATATAATAATACACACATACCCAGCATAGGAGAATCACTCTATATGTATCCTGGAAGAACAGACATATTCACAAAGGCTTCTGAGACTGTGAGATGGTTTGCTAGATTGTACCTTCTAAAGCTCCCAGGAGAGGCTTTAACGCCCCAAAGCCTTCCTGCAAGGACCATGTGCAAGTCCTCACAATGCTGAAATTACTTTTGAAACAAAAAATTGAATCAGGATAGAAAGACAAGAACAATTATGGAGACTTTGGAAGAAAAAAGAGACTCTCACTTTGGAGTCTGTCTGAGGCCTCTCACCAGCTAAGAATCAAGAATTCTAGTACAGAGCCTGAAGAGATGGCTCAGTGTTTAGGAGCACTGGCTGCTCTTGCAGAGGACCCAGGTTCGGTTCTCAGCACTCACATGGTGGCTCGCAGCCATCTGTAACTCCCGGTCCAGGGGATTCAGCATCCTCTACTGGCCTCCATGGATACCGGGCATGTACATAGTATACAGACATACATGCAAACAACACACCTATGCACATAAAAATAAATCTTTTAAAAATGTCCAGTATAAATATCAATATTTTCAATGAAGGTTGGCAATCTAGAGACAACATTTGTTTTGTTTCATCCAGAAATATCTTCAACGAAGAAAGTCAAATAGTAACAAGTCAGCCTGATCACAGATGGCCTCCAAGCACCTTCAGTCCTTGCCTGATATTTTCTGGAACTCTCACAACCAGGATGCTTAACCTTTGTCGACAGTGATGCACCTTAACTTCCTGCATCCCTGTGGCCATGTGCTGGGAGCTAAGTAGTGCTGTTTAGCTTCCCATCTTCTCTTTGGGGCACAGGATTCTCTCCCCACTGTTCCCACAGAGAATCTGGGAGAACACTCAACAGATGCTTGCTATGGTTAGACCCATGTGTCCCGCCGTAAAGTTGGGCTTTTCTGAGTAACGTTTTAAATCATGATTGACTATTTGTAGCAAGTCGGTTTCTAAGAGACCTGAATTTCTGCTAACACGGGGCGGGGGCGGGGCCGAGGGGGCGGTCACAGATCTGTTCTCAGCTGCCTTGCTCTGGTGGAATACGGTGGGGAGGTTACATTCTCCTTCCCAGTTTCTCCGTGCGGCCCCAAAGCAACAGCGCCACCTATGGGATGCTTTCCTAGCATCTTGTTACCTAGATAAAAACAAGATCCAGATGACGTCATTTGACATTCCCAATTGTAATGCTGGACTCTCGGTCCTCAGGACACCATGGAATCCCTTCCTCCTCCATTTCCCTGCTTTGCTATGTGGAGCCCACACTCTCCAGCATTTTCTCCTGGTCCAGTTGTACCATCACCTACTAGCTCCATGCTATATTAACTTGAGTGGGTATTTTGCTTGTTTGTTTTTAAAGAAAAGGGATGACTGCCCACGTTTAATCTGTGAGGTGCCTGAGTCCCACTGGAAATTATATACTTGTGTGGGGAGGGGGAATGGGATCAATTTATGAGGCGGCTGAGCTCACAACTGGTAGAGAGTCATCGCGTGGCTTCGTTACCATTCTAGCTAGTGCTATCATGAGCTTGGTGGAAATTACATGGCTTGGTCACCAAGCAGATGAATGAATGCACGAGGGTATCCATGCTCTCAGGGAGTGAGGGACATCCCTCCTCCCCACCCGTGCTCCCTAGGCAGGGAACTGACACACATCCTTCATGCTTTCCTCTCAGGGCTGTCCTGACAACAAGGTCTTGTGTCTTTGGGGCTAGGGTGGGGGAGGCCCAGCTGCCTCCCAAGGGCTCCCCTCCCTCCTCCTTCCCCCTTTAGGGCTTCCCTCGGTACCCTATCATTTTCAGCCCAAGCCTCATTCTCCCAAGGTTTTGGAAGCGGCCCCTCCTCTCAAGTCTTCAACTTCGGCTTTCAGGAATGTGAACACCATGTTTAATTAGCTTGTTCATGGTTTTGGTTTTTTTTTTGTTTGTTTTGTTTTGTTTTGTTTTTTGTTTTGACTATCAGAGTCCTTCCTACCTTTTCCACTTTCCAAAGGTCTCCCATATGTCTCTTGTTAATAATATTATGGTTAGCCGGGCGGTGATGGTGCACGCTGCCTTTAGTCCCAGCACTCGGGAGGCAGAGGCAGGCGCATCTCTGTGAGTTGGAAACCAGCCGGGTCTACAAGAGCTAGTTCCAGGACAGTCTCCAAAGCCACAGAAAAACCCTGCCTCAAAAACAAAACAAAATATATTATGGTTTTTGTTTGCTTGTTTTTTCATAGCTCAAGGACTGTGACCACCTGGGAAAAGGAGACTTTGAGAGAGCTATTTCAGCTTTGAAATTAGTGAGCAGAACTGAATACTTTTTACATCGGTACTAAACCGATTAAAGAAGACAGTAGCAAATGAGCATCCAGAGCAATGTTTCCAATTTAAGAGATTTTATTCAGGTTCTGCACTCAATTAGAGGTACCTACAACAGACTACAGACAAAACCAATTAGGAAGGGCTCTATAAAAATGTTCAGAAAACAGTAACACAGAGAATGCTCACTCTTACAGATCTCAGACAAGCTACCAACCAGGTCTTAATTTCAGTCTCCATGCTGTGTGACAACATTCTTAATTCACAAGGAAGAACCAATTTAAAATAAGGTTGTGGGGGTGGAGGCCTAACTACGAAGACTCCCCAAAGAACCCTGAGAGCATTCTGACAGCTTGTCAAGCTGGTGCTGTGAACAGTTTGTGGAGATGGGGAAAGATGGATACAGAATAATCCCTAAGTTCAAACAGTAGGTTGGGGAGGGGTGGGGAGCTGGTTCTCATTAACAGTGAAGGTGGAATGAAGCAACCCTTACCTCAGTAGAGAGGCTTGCCCCACAGGGTCCAGACGCTGGGCTCTGAGTAGGCCTGGAGGAACCGTGGCTTGCTCAGAGTTAGCTGCCACTGGGATGCTTGCCTTAGGGTCCCTCAGCAACGGGTCCTCGGCCCCTTGCGCTGTGGGTGGCTGGAATCTGTCAGCACAGGGCTGCTCCTGGTGATCTTGTGGCAGCGAAGGGGAGACTTGCAGTGTCCTAAGCCACGGGTGGAGAGCCTTCTCTGGGAAAGTGGGTGTCAGCATGACTTGGGGGGAGGGGTGGGTGTTTTGTGGTGCTGGGACCTACACTGGCCTGGAAACTGGGGCATGATCTCACACACACTCTTTTTGAAAGAGGGTTCAAAGTGTGATAGGGGTTCAGGGCGCCTCCCAATCCCCCACCCTGGACTCGGGGAAGGTGTTGGGGTTAGACTCTGGGGACCTGGTGTCATGGGAAGAGCCATCCGAATCTAGGGACATCATCTCCTGAAGAAGCGGCCTCTTGGTGGGCTTCTTCTTCTTCTTTTTAAGGTTATCTAGTCTCGGCTGTTTCAAATTTCCATCGTCTTCTTCAGTCACTGTCCAGAGTGGGAAAGATTTATTGGCTTCTACTTCTTCCCTAGAGAGAGATGGAGGAGAGCTTAAGACTGATTTTAGGCACTTGGACTTGACAGCTGCAGTGTGTGTGTGCAGAGATCTGTCTCGTCTCTGCGGAGGTAGCCAAGCTTTGCCTGCTGCCTTAGGTGTTGGACACTCTGGGCTTAAATTCCATTCGGTTCATGTCCATACATGCAGGAGCCCCACGCAGCAGGGAAAACCTACCCATGTGGACCCAGCCAATCAAGAAACAGGTAACGCAAACTCAGATACCCCATCCCCAGGCTTAGCTCTATCACAGCTGAGGTTTCTCAAATTATATGGGTCAAGAAACTCCCAAATGTCAACAGCAATGTGACTTTTTATTACATTTACTAGAAAAAGACGCAAGCCTGCCTATGGTGTCATACTTATTTAGAAAATGTGCTGGGTGGAGCTTATTTATGGAGGAGAGTTGGCCTTTCTTCAGGGAAAGCATCTTGGGAAGGCCATGAACTTCATTGTGGCCTACCCGCCACTGCCCACTGAAGTTTCAGTTTCTCTTCTTCAGAGCACGGAATACCTGGGCCTGAACCTCACTCCCGTCTCACGCTTCTGCATCGGTTAGTTGCCTTGACCACCCCTGCTGCACTCAGAATCAGTGTTGTTCCGGTTTTGCCCTAAATCACTTCGGATCATTACTGTTTCCAATCCTTTGGGAAGATACGAGAGAAAAAGATGGGCTGGGAAAATCCCATTATTCAAATCCCTCTGTAATGGATCAAGATTGAACTACCCGTGACTATTCTCAAAGACTGGCACAAGACTCAGGAGGGAATTCCTGAGAGAGGCTGAAAAGAAATGGCTCAAGAAGTGGCGGGTGGCATGTAACAGAAAGGCTTTCCTGGATCCCACACACAAACCACCTTATGCGAGGTCTGGGCTTGTGCAGACGTCAAATCTCTGGGAGAGCATGTGCCTAGAGACATGGAGGCCACACCTCAAGATGATACCCTGGATGCCTGCCCTGTGAAACCTGAATTCTCCTCACACTTTGCCTCTACTGTTACTCACAGATACCTCCCTCGAGGCTCAGGCGGTTCTATTTTGTTTGTCTCCACTGGCCATGCATGAGCTTTGGTCTGTTTTTATGACAGACTGCTTCCTAGGAAGATGGGCAGCAAGGAGAGGGTGGCAGGGTTTTCCAGGTGTGCTAAAAGCACTCAAAGCTTAAGCAGAGAGACCTGTCTACCTGCCCGAAGGAGACCTGAACTATTTAGGCCCAGAAGTGTTCTAAATTTTGGAATATTTGCACATACGTAATCAAGCACCTTGCAGAGGGAACCTAAGTCTAAACACCAAGTTCAGATCTGTTTCCCACACACCTTAATGCGTCTCCTATAGACTGACTTTTCCTATATCTCTGATGGCCCTGAATCAGCTTTCCACTCGCAGCCTCATGTTTAGAATTTCCCAGTGTGCTATGAACCTATCTATGGAGGCCGTAAGGGCTGACACTATAGGGAGGTGTGGCTTGCTGGAGTAGTCGTGGTGATGTTGGAAGGAGTGAGCCACCAGGGGGCTGTGAGGTCTAAAATGCTCAAGCCAGCTCTGGAGTAACGTTCGCCTCCTGCTGGCCCGGATGCAGAACTCTCAGCCCGTTCCTGCGTCTCCTGGCCATGATGATAAAGGACCACACCTCCCAACCATAAGCCAGCCCCAGTGTGAGAGTTTTCACGGCCATGGCGTCGCTTCACAGCAAGGCTGGGTTTTGGATTTTTGGATTAGGGGCGTCCAAACTGCAACACGATAAACAGGAAACAAGTGTGCACAGTGGGGTAGAATGGAGAGCCAGACACAGTGTCTTAACTGGCTCTTTAGAAGGTTTTGGTCTCTCCTCTAGGGAGAAAGTGCTGAGAAATCATGATGCACTTCATTTCTGGGTTCAAAACACCCCTATTCAGTTGATCAAGATTTGCCAGTATCCTGGTTCTCTTGCTGGCCCCCAGAGGTCTGGGTCCTACATTGGCCCAGTTGTCTCTTTTGCTCTGGAAAAGGCGTCAGACAGACGTCTCATGGGGATCAGACGGCCTCTGAATCGACAACTAAAGGAGCAGAAGATCAGGAGACCAACACCAGTGGTCTAAGGGTCCCTGTGACTCTTGAGGACACCTTAGCCTTCCCTTCAAGGTCGGAAACAGCCTTTGTCCTTGTGGACAACATAGGATGCGCACAGGCAGAGGCTGTTTCCCCAACTGCTCATTTTTCAAGGCTTGGCTCCAGGATGGAAAATGGGGCTCTCATGTGGGTACAGGGATGAAGGGATAAGAAGTACAGACTTGCTGATTTCAAACACCCAGCTCGCTCCCCGCGGAGCACTGTCAGGAGCGATGCTGGACTGCCATGTTTCAGTCAGTGAGTTCATCCTGCCTCCGCCGCTGCTGAGAAAGCACACTATCCAGGAAGGAGGCTAAGTCACTGGGGAACCGCCCCTCCCACGGAAACACACGCCTAGTCCGTGGGAAGTCACCAGGCTGCTCAAAGGAGAGACCATGGGAGGCGAATTTTCGTGCAGTGGGAATAGTGAGCCGACCACAGACTCAAACAAAGCCACTTCCAAGTCCTGGGAAAGTGTTCCTTTTGTCAGTCACACACACGACAGTGTCCCCAAGGCCACACAGCACCAGCTACGCAGCAAGGGAAGACCACTCCTTTCCCTCAGGTGCCTGATTTTTGTTTTTGTTCCCATCAGATGGATTTTTCTGGAGCACCCCCCTCCCTCAATGATTAGTCCTACTTGGCTTTCCTGCAATCACATTGGGATATTGTCACTACTGTCGCTATGATTGTCGTTATAATTAAGAAATAATAAACCTTCCCAAGAGAATGTCTTCCTAGAGGGCTGACTTGCCCAGGCCTTGCTCTGTCAAGTGGGCAGGTAGACTCCAGCTTTGCTGGAGGGATTTGCAGCCAGCTAGGGTACCTACCAGGTGTGTGGATTCTGCTCAGGCCTGCCAGACACCCTGGTCTGGAGACAGCTTCATGACACCTGGCTGAGGTGATTTCCCTGGGGGGGGGGGAGAAAACCAGAAGCCACCCCATCAAACCCACCAGGTGCTGCCTTCCCCTGCAGCAATCAGGGCCTCAGCCTTCTGACAGGATGGAACAAGGCCCCAAAAGAGGTGGCCAGGGAAATCCCTACCTGGGTGAGGCCAGAGAATGCAGAATTGGGGAGGGGGGCGGGGTTGTGCTGGTGGGGAACGCTTCCTGTTCTGCTCGCTCCTTAGAGCTACTGAGATCACGTGAAACTGCATATGTCTTCTTGAAGTGAATGTTCTAGACTACTTAGAGACTATTTTCACTCAGAAAGGGTATAGATGATGCCACAGAACATAGAGGAAAGCCCGGGGACACTGAGAGAAAGGGGGGAGGAAGAGATGTTGGGTCCCCTCCGCTGACCCACTCCTAGTGGGCGGCGCAAGAGGCAAGAAGGCAGCCAGCACCCATGCCACACATTTCCTGAGGCAAACAAAGCGAAGCTGGGGCTGCTGTCCCCTTGAGAGATACATCTTTGTCAACATGGTGACGAGTTTTGCAAGCCACTCTTAAGGAAAGTCTCCAAGAGTCACTTAGCTCTCAAGCAGGGGTTGAAAACGGAACACTGCACGAACTAGTTGGTCAGTTTTGATCTTAGCATTCTGCTGAATAGTTTCCTTCCCACCCTCCATCAAGGACTAGCAGAGGACGCGGCTACCACCGCAAATCCACTGGCCGAACAAGATGCCACTACATGCATGTACGGGTCGGAAATACTATGCTAGTCATAGCTGAAGGCCCCAGGAAGGAAGGGAAGAGAGTGAAATGACAGAGGCCAGGTTTCTGGGGGCAAAGGGCCCTGACTGATCACCCCAACTGAGTCAATGCCTGAGGAACTCATGTTCGGGTGGAGTCACGGGTACTCATGTTCGGGTGGAGTCACGACCCGTGGCGCAGTTCTTTGATGACACGTGAACATGAGAATCAGGATCCTCCTTGGTATAAAGGACTTGTACAGATGTTCAAGAGGAGATGGCATAAGAGGTAAGTGAGGATTAGGTTCCAGTGGAAGCGCTGAATAGAAGGAGAGGCTAGAAGGCAGCTAAATTCATTCTTGTATTCAGCCCCGGTTATAGAAGCAGAGACCGACCAAGCTCTGGAATTAGCTAGCCTGAAGGTGGCTCCTGCTTAGGAAGATTAAATGTAGCTTGTTGCTCCTAGGAAGGCATTGAGAGTTAAAAAAAAAAAAAAAAGGAAGAAAGGAAAGAAAACGTGAGAATCAATGAACACATCTCCTGTGTGAAGCCCCAGAGGTGAGGGTACATAATCAGCAGCTAAGAAATTTAAATAAGTGGAGGTGAGAAACAAAGCCCCCCACTTCATACTGAAAGAAATGAATTTTAATTAAAAAGTGATTAATGATAATGCTGAGTTCAGTGAAAACTGTCAATACCTAGAGTAACATTCATATTCCTCCTGGGCTAGCATTGAAGAATATTTTTCTCCAAAGGTTCGTATGCTTTAGGGTTGGTGTTGAAAAGGTGATGCGTCCTTTAACAGGTGAGACCCAGTAGGACGCCACTAGGTCCTTGGGGACTTGGCTCCTTTAAAAGATTATTGGGGTCTCCCGGAGTGAGCAGGTTGATAGACGAGAACAGACCTAGCCCCAGAATATTCTGGCTTCCTTGTACCACCATGTTACTGCCTCTTTACTCGAATGCACAGCAGACTCCGTTATGTTCTGACAGGACCAGACAGGGCCTCACCAGAAGCCAAACGGACGGAATCCATTGAGCTTGCCCTTTCTATCTTCAAAACTGAACTATAAACACTTTTTTCCCCTTTGAAAGGCTCTTAACCTCAGACATTTTGTTATAGGGACAGAGTGGACTGAGACAGTATAGCACCAAGGGAATTTTCCATAATGAAAACCTTCACGAGATACGACAGGATCACCTTAGCACATGGGAGAATCTGGCTAGGTGCTAGGGCACTTTATGGTAGCGGGAACGCTTGCACCCAATCTTTAGGATTTCCCAGGAGGCTAAGGAGTACTGTTCCGAGAAGGTGACACAGAGTTTATGCAAAGTACAGAGATCTGAGAAAGCTTGCTGCTGGAAGGTAGTTAGTATGCCCTGGAGGGCTGGTTAGAAGTGACTAGGAAGCAAAGCCAGACTAGGGAGACAGGGCCCACCGCAATAATGCAAGGTTAAGATAGAATAAGGGGAACTCAGATGGGGGAGATTCTGGGGGTTCTTAAGTGAAGGAGGTGATACAAGAACCATCTGTAATCAAAGAAAACCATCTCCAAGCCTGGATCACAGTAACTGGGAGGCAGGTGGGATGTGGTGAAGGACCAATAGATGTCTGCTTGGACAATGCCATCCATCACTCATGGGAGGAAGAGGCGTTGAGAGAAGGAGCCCGGGGCTGGGAAAAGGCGTGGGGACTGAGTTCGGTCTGTATATATTGAGTTGGAACTCCTGTAGCGTCGGGTGGAAACAGTCCATGGGAAGAAGCTGGGGAAATGGTTTAGGTTTGCTGTGAAAGCAAGAAGGCTTGAGTTCAAACTCCTGGCATAACTGCATGTGCCTGTAACCCTTGCGTTGAGCAGTGGAGAATGGCTCCTCCAGCTGCCCATTACATGCCCACTGTGTGGCTTTCATGAGGACACACTGTAGGCCTGTCCTCAGGGCTTGTAACTCCGATGCAGAGGCACAGGCTGGGTTAGAGAAAGAGACACAGGGCCCTTCGTTTAAGTGGCATCCTGGGAGCAATGGTGTGGGTAAAGTCAGGCAGAGAGAAAAGCCAGAGAGCCACGGCAGGCTTGAGAAGGCGCTTTCACAAGCCAAGAGCAGTCCCAAGAGAAGCATTGGGTCAGGGTGGGCGGGGACACGGGAGAGTCTCACTCAGCTGGGCTCTGTGGAATCTGTTTCTGGCAAGAAGTACAGGGAAAACTGATACCTACACTTAGGGAGGGAACTAAATAGGGACAAGGCTGTCCAAGTCTACAGAAAAGACTGGCAAACAAGGGAAACGTGAGTTAGGTCACACTACAGATACCGCAGACAGGGAGACACAGGCAGGAAGGGAGGAAAAAGGGAGGGAGAAAATGTGCACGCCACGTATACGCACACTGTGGGTAAATTCAGGGGAAACTCGTTCTTCCCTCTGAGGTGAAGGTTTTGCGAAGGAAACTAAGGAGAGAGGATGTTAGAATGCAGTGATCACCCACAGAGTAAGGGCCCAGGGCATTGAGGGATGGGCTTCTAGAACTGGTGGGTAGATCAAGTTTCAATAGCATGAGAGACACTAATATTTTTTGACATCACAGAGACCGGTTAAGAGTCCTACGGGCACCAAACTGAGAGATACGCAGTGTTTCATTTCTGTAATGAAGGTGGATGAAGACCAAATGCTACCCACAGAATAAAAGGTTCACTCCCCAACACAACGCGTTCACTCAGTGGAATGGGAAGGCGTTTCCCAGAGCCCTTCACCACCACCCTTGCTCAAAACCCACGTCTGCTTCCTCTTGCTGTCCTGGTGGACCCTGGTTTTGTCTGCTCTTCAGGCCTCGAGTCTTTTCTACTGACACTGGGCCAGTCTGCCGGCACATCTCACTAACCTGGTGGAGATTTCCTCACCCCAGTGTAGATCCCGGGAACCCCAAGTCACTCCCCAACACACTCATCCCATAAGGCACTTCATCACCTCCCCATGTGGAAGGGGCAGTTCCCAAGTGATGTTCAGTTAGAAGCTCTTGAATTCTTACACACAAAGGGGGCATGATCACTTCTTCCTCGTGGCAGGATTGAATGTTTTTACGAAGGGGTCAGTGAAAATAACGTTGACTCTGAGATTAGAACCAGATGGAGTGGCAGACAGCAGTTCAATGGTGGGAGGTAGATCGACTAATGATCTCAGAAGCGAGCCATCCATCTCTACTCTCCCCTAGTACCACAGAAGGTGTAAATCTCAGCAAAGGAATGAAGTTGCGAGGATGGGAGTTGATGTCTAAGAGGTAGGAGCTGGGCGTACTCACCCTGTTTGGTCCTTCTCAACCGGGGGCGATTTTATCTGTGAGCAAGAGAGCGCGTACTTGTTTTGGCTTATCTTTATAAGTGCACTCCGAGGGCAAAATTCCTGTAATCACACCAAAAGAGGCCACGTCATCGAACCCAGGGAGCTCCCAATGCGTGAACAGATTTTATTTCAGCTCAAGCTGTTATCCTAGCTACTAATCATTACCCCATTCCGGTGACACTTAAGAGAGCAGGTTAAGATCACTTTGCTTTGTAATTGTTTGCTGAATGAAAGTCATTGTTAATTCCTCTGCATTCATTCATCTAAATTCTAGGTCAACTGCCAAGTCTACCCAGGTTAATCACACATGTACACCCACCCCACACACACACCTTTCAACCTCAGTCATCTCTTCCGGATGGCTGTGACCATGAACCTATTGCTCAAAGTCCTGCTCTCCCTTGTGAGGTTTCCCAGAAACCGTATGAGAATCTTCAGTGTCCCTTCCGACTAGAGTGCTCTGCCTTCCCAGGCACTCTCTGGAATCCGAGGCCTTTCTTCAGGGACCCCAGACCATCTGCTGTGTATCTCTCTGCGACTCTGAGGCATGCCTCAGAGCATCATTTCACAGGTCCCTGGCTTGCTCTTCCCAGGCTCCCCAGGCTCATATTCTCAAGCAGCCCTGCGCAATGGGGATGCTAGGACCATGAGTGGCAGAGGAAGACAAGGCTGAGAAAGGCCTGGGACATGCCTGTATCTACAGGGCTTGCAGAGGAGCACAGGCAGGAGCAAGGCAAACACACAGACACACACACACACACACACATGCACGCACGCGCACGCACGCACGCGCACACACACGCGCGCACACATGCACACACAGGCACCAGGCCTGGAGAGCTGGCTCAGGGATAAAGAGACTGTGGCATAAACATTCGTGGAGGAGGGGTGGAGCCTGAGGGAGCACTGCCATCCACTCCCCCTACTCGTGTGCATCCCTTGTGGCTTGCACTCTGCTGCATAGGCACAGCAGCCCATCTGTGACCCCAGCATTTAAAGGGCAGAGACAGGATCTCTGGTTAGCTAGACTTGCTGAATGGGTGAGCTCCAGATTTAGCAAGAGACCCAGCCTCAGTTTAAAAAAAAAAAAAAAAAAAAGTGGAGGGTGATGGAGGAAAACACTCAATGGCAACCTCTTGCTTCCACACACATCCAAGCATGCATGTAGTCACATACATACCGTGTGTGTGTGTGTGTGTGTGTGTGTGTGTGTGTGTGTGTGTGTGTGTGGCACCTGTCCAGCTGTCAACTGCAGTTTGACAAGGAGAGAGTCAAATGACTCTCCCACATAGAAGCAAGGAGACCACAGAGCTCTTTAGCATGAGCAGAGTCTGAGCCACAAGGGGCACGTGAGAAGGGGGAGTAGATGGCGGTGCCCCCCAGGCTCCACCCCCTCCTCTGCCTTGTGGGAAAGCACTTCTCAGGGTGGATACTCACTCTGCGGTTGTTACACTTCAAAACTGTGTAGAATTTTTCTGAAGCCACACTGTGATTCGGAAGCGCTATGACGATGGCGGGGACATAGAAGTCGAATCCTCTGCTTGTCACAATTTTGGCAAACACATAATCCCCAACCTGTAAAAGAAATCACGTTTCACAGCAAATGAATTATTTACAGAGCTCATACATAATTGAATACAAGCTTGTTTCACAGCAACCTTCTTCAGTGACTGGCAGGTACTGTGATAGAATTCTGATATAGAGCTTTAAAAAAAAAAGAAGAAGTCAGATAGAAAGGGTTCCAGAATTCTCTGAGTGTATTGGGACACATGTGCGTTTTCGTGAGCACTTTGGAAAACCCAGTTTTGGTGGAAGTTTTGCGACTGTCGAGGGTCCTGGGACAGTCAGCAAGATGGTTAGGGTTCTGAAACTCACGGAGATCAGAAGAAACAAGGACAGGCTGGAGGAGTGTCCAGGGCGGTTCATATAGAGATGGAGCCCACATCCTCAGTGTTAGGAGGGCTGCCCCAGACAAAGGAAAGGAGGGGTTTGGTGAATGGAAACCACGGTGAAGAGTACTGAGGTATAGAAGATTTTGCAAAAGGCCACATCGAGACCGCCAGGTACCAGGAGAAAGATGCAGGAGGCGTGCTGTAGGTAGGACGTAGGAACAGACCAAGGCTAAGCCATCTGATCCCTCCCTGGCTTACCCCAGGCAAGAAATAGCAGCATGGCGGCTTTGAAAGGCTTTCCTTCTGTGCCTCGCCCTCCAGTCCCATCTTGGTGACAAGAGAGTGGCAAGCGGAATGAACCCGACACAGTGTGGTGCTCATTCATTCACAACCAGATGAGAACATATACGGCTGTCTCGTTTGTGGAAGGCATGCTGGAGGCGACTGCGCTACGACTTCACAGGTTGGCAGGGGCTCACTATGGGGTCACGGAAACCACAAGTCCTACCCTTGACACACATGAAGCTTTCTTCTACAGCAGAAGCTTCAGGAACACTGGGAGCCACACAATTTCCTTCCCCCTTGTGACAAGTGTCCCAAGAGATCCTAGAAGCCACTATACACAGTGGCCAGCTACACTGGGAGGGAGTTGGCACATCAGTCACAAGCAGAGAAATTGTCAAAGGATAGAGACAAGAAACCGGCTGCTGCTCTTCCTGCCCAAACACAAGCCCCCTACAGGAGCCCAAGAGGGCCATATAGGGACCTTTGCCATCCCAAAATGCCGTGGGCAGTATAAAGCAGTGGTCTGAACCTTCCTAATGCTGCGACCCTTTGATACAGCTCCTCATGTTGTGGTGACCCCAACCACAAAATTTATTTTCATTGTTACTTCATAACTGTAACTTTGTTACTGTTATGAATCATAATGTAAATATCTGTTTTCCGATGGTCTTAGGGTGACCCCTGTGAAAGGGTCGTTCGTCCAGAAAGGGGTTGTGACCCAGGGGTTGAGGACCACTTGTATAAAGGGTCCCAGAAGGGATCAGAGAGTAGGTACCTGAAGTTGTGGGCAGGGCATGGCGCCCCCGATAGGTGTGATGAAGGAGATGGGTACAGCCGTGGTTTCTCCATACCTGAACTCCACCAGTGCCTCGGTGGGGCTCACAGATTTCTTCACAACCCCTGGAGGGATCAAGAGAAACACAGCATGATGACAGCTGCAGGTTTTCTCTACCCTGTGGCGTGTGCAAAGTCACAGCACACGCCTGTGTAAGTCACTGCACCCTATGATCCCTGCGGGGGTCCAGGGGCGAGGTGGGCAGGATGGACAGATATAGTCTGATGCCTTCATCAGTTGAAGAATAGAATGCTCTGGCTTTCGAGGTGCAGGAGAACTCACTCATCGAGCACCAGCAATACCCATCCTGCTGACTGCTCCAGGGACAGCTTCATCCTGAGTGCTTCCCACAACCACATCTCCTTATCTACTTATTCTAGCCCCGTGTCCATCTATGGAGACTGAACGCAGGTGCTGTTAAACTGTGAGAGTAGAGAGGAAACATAAATGCCCACCTAAATCAGCTTTTCATTTGATATTAGATAAACGAAAAGGTCACCAGGCTCAACACGCCCATGGCTTTCCTAAAAAATGGAAGAAAAACCAAACCAAACCAACCAAACAAAAACAGCTGCAAGTAGCTTGCCACTTTGTTATACTCAAAGGAAATATTACACATACTTTTCAATTTCATTTGGAAACATTTTGTTGCTCTGGCTGGCCTGGAACTATCTACGCAGACCAGGCTAGCCTGGAACTCACAGGGCTCTGTCTGCCTCTGCCTCTCAAGCACTGGAATTAAAGGCGTGTGCCACCGTGTCTGGCCAACTTTATAATATGTTCGATGTGTGCCCATTGTTAAGCTGGTGACTAAACACGGGGACCTGTACGGTTAAGGTTAGCACATGTAACTAGCAAAGTGTAGTATTCGGTCGGTCCTATGCCATGGGCAGAACAATGCTAGCAGGGCGCTAGTCATTTCAGACCCTGTTTGGAAAGGCAGGGTCACTGGGGGGCGGGGCCAAGCTGAGTGACTGCACTCAGGCAGCCAACAGCGGAAGAGGGGATGCAGGCAGACGAAAGCTCGGGTTAGCTGGCTAGAAACACATTTCAAGGGGTATCCTGCCCCCCCGTTTATTTTTTCCCATCATAACTCGTACCTATGACGCAGGGCTGAAAGCCACTATGAATTCCCTGGTGTTAAAATGCTTCTGGTCATTCACTGATCAAGAGGAAGAATGATCCCGTTTTCACGAGTAATGACCCCCATAATGTTTGAGATGGGTCTTCCTCCTTGACGGTGTTTTTTGAGAAATAGAGTTGGGATGTGTGATGAGCTCTACCTAACCTCCAACAGTTCAGAAAAGGGGTGTCTGTCTGTCTGTCTGTCTGTCTGTCTGTCTGTCTGTCCATGTGTGTGTCTGTGTGTAGTAAGGGAGAGTGAAAACATGAAAAAGCAGAAGACTCACAGATTATAAGAAGTGAAAAAATGTTTAAAAAAATTAGTAAATCTGGGTAAAGGGAATTTAAGAATTCTCTATTTTTCTTGTAACTTTTCTACAAGTTTGAGTTGTTTTTTTTTTTTTTTTCCTTAAGAAAACCTGACTCTTCGGCGGAAGTTACAGTCCCCAATTTAAAAAAAGATCCCTTGACTCTGAAGGGTGGAAAGGCAAAGAATGAAGGATGTATGGGTAGCCAGCCCTCCCTTGCACTGTCTGGGAATTCTGTGTCTGCTCTCTCCCTGGGGGAGAGCTGGCATCCCAGACCTGCAGCATTGCGAATGACTTAACATCAGTTCTGGGCCTCAACTCAGGTCCTCATGCTGGCGCAGACATCGCTTTACCCTTTACCCGCGGGTCAGCTCCGCAGACCGCCATTTAATTTGGTGGCGCTAGTGTTTACGGACTAACGGCAGATCCAAATGACTGGTTCTGTAACTAAATCCCAGTGTTTACTCCCTCCCCATTGACTTTTTTGAACCCAACCACAGCTGCAAATTTACTTGTTTTGATCTGGTGGCTCACATGCAGTTATGAGGACGCTCACTGGCTTCAGTCACACGTTTAAGAACAAATTGCCATGCCGTGCCGTGCCCTGTCTCGGGCACTTTAAGCGGGTGTGGCGTTAACACTGCCCTTCTGTCCCCCAGCCTGGGCTGCTCTTCATTCCCCTGGAGTCCTGGCCAGCAATGGACCCTAGTCCATAAGCCACCCATCTGGAATGCGGTCCTCTGTACATTCCCCTTAAATGGCAGATTCGCTTAGGAGCCTCTCCATGGCTTAAATTCAGAAAAGTAAAGATGTCTGGCCAGAAGGGGCCTCCACACACCTCAGCAGAGCACTTTCATGCTCAGGTCCATGAGCTACTCCAAATGCCTAGCTCTGTTTCCCTCCATCCCGTCAACTCCAAGTTCATTTTCCAGATGTCGGAGAAGACATCTTAGTCGACAGTTCTATCCACATGCTGACTGGGAACCAAATGTTTTGCTGAGAAGTTATTTCTTTCTCACTCCCCGCAGACATTATCTAATTAAATCTGATGAATGGCTAGGCTTCTGCGCTTGAACTTTTTGTTTTCTACAGGCTTCCCTGGGCTTTCTCCAGGGTCATCTTTTGCCTGCTGACCCTTCCCATGATGTTTCCAGAGTCTCTGTCCCTGTCCAGATTCCAGACTCCAATGGCGTCTCTTAACGGTTTCTGTTGGGCGTTGGGCATCTCACAGGCACCTGAAGCTCATATCCTCAGCAAATAGGCATGTCTTTCCATCCACGCCACTGAGTCATCTTCCCAGCCCATCTCCCAGCTTTAAACGTGACCTTCCAATGCCCTGAGAGCGATGTGCAAACTCCTAAAAAGGACCTGCTCCGAGTGACCCCCATGCTTGCCTCCCTGGAAATCGTTTGTGCCAGCTGGTTTTTGTGTCAACTGAGAAATGCGTTCACACAATCAGGCTGTAGGCAAGCTTGTAGGGGCATTTTCTTAATTCATGATTGATGCTGGAGGGCCCAGCCCATTGTGGGTGGGGCCACTTCTGGGCTGCTGGTCCTGGGTGCCATAAGAAAGCAGGGTGAACAAGCCAGGGAGCACAAGCCAGGGAGCACCACTCCTCCATGGCCTCTGCCCCAGCTCCTGCCTCTGGGTTCCTGCCCTGTCTGAGTTTCTGTCCCAACTTCCTTAAATCATGAAGGGGGGGGCTCACAAGCATAAGCCAAATGAACCCTCTCCTCCCCTAGTTGCTTTGGCCATGGTGTTTCATTGTAGCAATAGTCACCCTAGCTAAGACAGCTTTATTGTTTCTCACTGTTCTTGAGGGTTCCTGGATCTAAGCACAGTTGCCTTTCTATCTCCAGACACAGTATCTTTACTTACCGCTAGCCCTTGCCAGGTAGGATTTTCACTGCCCATAAAGCCCCCTTCACACCTCCCTTCCCTGCTGAATGCAGCCGGCTGGTTCCTTGAGGAACCCCATCTCCCGGGACGTCTTGGGAGCATCTCTCCAGTCAACTGTGATAGTCTGTCTGCTTTTTCTGAAACGTGTCTCTTGCATTCCACCCTTGAGCCTTTCTCCCAGGTGATCTGATGTTGACACCTTCTTCTTTATGTCCTTATCACATCACGTTCCCCAGGAGCCATTCCTTAAGCACTGTATTTAGAATTGCAACCTTCTGTGTGACCCACTCAATCCTCTTTGTGGCTTGGTTTTCCCTTACAGTACACGTTGTGTACTTTTACTGTTTATTGGGTGGCTCTCCTGTGTCCCTTGGTAAGAAACAACTTCCCCCGAAGACAAGAATATTCATGTATTTGTTTACTGTATTACATGGCTACTTCTAGGGCTGGCGAGATAGCGCGGGTGGTAAGGTGCCTGTGGCTAAGCCAGATGACCTGAGTTTAATCCCTGGAATCCACACGGTAGAAGCAGAAAGCTGATTCTTACAAGTTGTCCTCTGACACCGCCCCCCTCCCTCCCGCCACACACACCATGGCACATGTCCCCACCCACCAATATAAAGAAAATAAATAAATGTAGACTGGCATGTTCAGAATATTATACACATATCACATATACAACATAGGTTGCAATAGAAATGTGCTCTCTATACAAATGATAGAATAAGAGAAATGCCACTTTTCTCCTACCCTTTTGCCTCACCTATGAGAAAGAGAACTTTTTACTTGAGAAGCAGAATACCTTTAGTCAAGCTCACAAAATATCAGTGTTCTAGGATGGAAACTTCTACGCCCCAGCGTCAGGCTGCTTAGCAAACTTCTACGCCCCAGTGTCAGGCTGCTTAGCGAATGAGTCTGAAAATGTACCTGGAAAATAGAAGCCATTCTCCTCACATCTGGCAATAACCTTCTGGCCTCTGAGGGGGTCCACCTTTCTTGATTTGATTTTCTTTGCTGGATACCCTTGCAATTTCTGCTGTTGAAAGAGACCAACAGTAAGAAGTGATGAGCACAAGGTAATGCAGATAGTAATAATAGGTGACATTATGAATAGAGGGAGCCTTATGTCCCCTCTGCTCACGTGAGGACCACATACTCACTGGGACACCTCTGCCCCACATTGACTGAAGACCACCCTTTTTGTAAGGGTAACTTTGGCTCTCTCTCTCTTTCTGTCTCTCTGTCTCTGTTTTTCTCTCTCCCTTTTCTTCAATTCGTTATCCAATTCTTTCACTCAAAACTAAATTATATATACATTTGTTTTATTATATGTTCATATAATTGTATGTAAGCGTTATGTATCGTTATTATATATGCATATATATTTTGGTTTAGAGTTAAAGAATTTGATAACTAGTTGAAGAAAGGGGAAACTTTTAAAAAACTATACATACAATTAGAATTCCTAAGATTCTAGATGGCTTCACAGCTGGACACAGACTACTTGAGACCCATGGCTGTTACCTTCCTAGAACTGTGAGGAGACTATTATGCTTTCAACGCAGTTAGCATCTCTGAGAGACAAGTGTGAAAATACAGGGGTTTACAGAAACATAGTGGCCCACCCCACCCCTCCATGACAATGACAATGACAAATCCTTAGAAACTCTACCTCACAGAACAGAAATGCATGGGCTATCAACTGGATTATTCTAGTCCTCATTCCTCCTGGCTATTGACTGGATTCTCCATGTCCTCACTTCAGGGAAATCATCCTACTAGAAGGCAATGGGCCACACTTTCAAAATTCTGGAAGAGAATTCCAATCTAGAATTCTAAACCCCAGCAAATCATTGATCAAATCAAAGAGCAGGTTAAACATAAAATCATCTCCCTAAGTGGAAGCATTTCCCTACATCATCCTGTCTTAGGAAGCTACTTGGAAGTATACTCCAGCAAAATGGAGTAAAGTAAGGAAGAGCAAAACAAACTCTAGGAGCCAGAATTCACTCTGAGAGAGCAGGGAGATAAATCTCTAGTGGACAGCTGTGTGCAGCCAGACCAGCAGGAAAGCTTGGGGGTGGAAGGTAAGGAAATAGGAATCCAGAGAATATATACATATATGCATGCATACGTACATATGTAAACTCATGTACATAAATTTAAAGCATGCAAAAGTAATTTATAGTGCAACCTTACATATCAAGGGACAAGCATTAAAGAAATGGTTTTCTCATGATACTATTAGCAATCTTTGTCTGACTATAAGACTTCAAAGAAGCCGTGTACTCCTAACCTGTGGCTTATCCTGATATTGGACAATATAATTAGAACAAAGGTGCTACTTTGTGGGTTTAAAAATTTTTTTACAATGACTCTTTGGAAGCACACACCACCAACACGGTGTTCTGAAGACTGCTTTTGGAAGGTGGAGTTAAAAGCCCACCATGCAGAGTCAGGAACTAAGGAAGAAATATGACACATCCAGAAACATAGGCTTCAGCACATTAAATAAAGCATCACAAAATGCAAGTAGGAGAAGGGATTGACGAGAGGCATCGTCATAGGATGGAATGAAAGCTATTGTTTAACTGTGAAGAACGATGACTTACAGGAACAATCGAGTTCGAACCAAAGACCTAAAAAGAAGCCAACCTTTCCTGGATGCTGCTTCTGAAGAGCAAGGCTGGTACCAGTATCATCAGCATCACCTCTACACCGAGTCAGTTGTTGCTGTAGGCAGTGTTGTGTTAGGATTAAAAATTAGGCAGTTAGTTTCAGAGAGGAATTTGGGCTCGCCCGCACAGTGCACATGTATAGAAGAGAAAGACACAGCAAATGTTTTGAGAATTAAACTAAAATGTACAGCATTGCCCAGGACCCAGACCACCACACTAAGCCTCGAGTAACGTGAGTGAGGGCAACCCCGAGCGGACATCAACCTGAACTAATGTGAGAAGTCCTGATAAGGTTTCAGAGGACAGGGAAGCGCCTACAGATGCAAAAGCGTAACCACGTTTTATTAAAAACGTTCAGCCTTCAACAAAGAGTTTAATCACAAAATCTTGAAACCCAATATTCAAAATGTCCACTGTACAATAAAAATGTAACAGGTAAACAATAAACTATGGGCAGTTCTTCGGCTAAAAGGCAACCAATAGGTTCTGACACTAAGATGATCTAGATGCTAAAATGATTGTTAAAGACGAAAACCAGCAATTTAAATACTTCAAACGATAACTTTTTTTTTAAAATTTAGAAATATATAAACTGTTATTTGGTATATATATATAACATATATAACATATATATGTTATAACATATAATACATATATATGTATGTATATATATATATACTTATGAAAATTTTAGAGATAAAATAGAATATGCAGACAAACATTATATCTACCTTAATAGAACTGTCCTATCTTAGGAAAGACCAGTATACTTGAAGTCAAACTAACAAAGGACAGAGGGGAAAAAAAAAAGAGTTTTAAGAAGGAACAGTGTCTGTCTACTGAGCCAAATAACTCCTTTCTGGCCCAACTCAGTGATCACCTTACTGAGGTCACATGCAGGGAATCTCAGAAAGAACACAGGAAAAGACAATTTCCTTCCTTCCAGATGGTGTCTTTGAGTTAAAGTTGGAGTGAATGTCTTGGCTATGTCGACTACATGAAGAAACTAGTAACATTATCTTACAAATGTCAAAAAGAAGCTTTTAATTTTAATTATGGGCCTGTGTTTGTGTGTGCGCGCATGTGTGCGTCTGTGTGTGTGGGAATGAATTGTCATGGTTGATTGAGTTACTTGATTTGGGAAGACCCAGTCCACTGTGGGCAGCACCACTCCCTAGGCTGGACCCTGAACTGTGTAAGAGAAGGATAATGGAGCTGAGCAACAGGCAAACAAGCAAGTGAGCATGGATGCCTTTGTTTTTCTTTGCTCTTGACTGTGGATGTGATGTGAGTCTGAGTGAGCATGAATGCATTCATTTCTCCTTGCTCTTGACTGTGGATGTCATGTGAGTCTGAGTGAGCATGAATACCTTTGTTTTTCTTTGCTCTTGACTGTGGATGTGATGTGAGTCTGGCTGTTTGGAGTTCCCACCACTGTGGCTTCCTTGTAATGATGGACTATAAGCTGGGACGATGAACTGAAATAAAGCATTTCTCCCTGAAATTGCTTATTGTTGGGACATTTTATCACAGCAACAGAAATGCAACTGGAACAACACTGTGCCAGTTCTGAAACAAACAAAAAAACACTGAAACAAAACAAATGAGTTTATGACATGTAAATTATACTCCCACAAATCTGCTTCTTCCTTCCTTTCTTCCTTCCTTCCTTCCTTCCTTCCTTCCTTCCTTCCTTCCTTCCTTCCTTCCTTCCTCTTTCCCCCCCCACCCAGGGGGTTGTAAGAGTAGGTGGCCATTTGTTTCTGGATTTTTTTTCAAATTTTGATATTTTATTTATTTATTTTTTTTGGTGTCCCCACTTTGAGGATATTTGGTTTTTTTTAATTATTATTATTTTATATAACCAAGTCCATTTAAATGAAAACAAACATTTATAGACAATATTTGGGAATTTGGGCGTTGTTCTTTCCAAACTACTTCCTGTTGGTAAGGAGCATTTCTGGCTTTTTCTATTTAATTCCAGTCACAGTGTTCTGTGTATAGTGGGCCCAGTGACCAAATGTGCACAGAAGTTTCTGAGTCTATACCGAGCCACATCCTCAACCCTGAATCTACTTTTCAACCAAACCATGTTTGCAGCCCCTTCCCACCTCCAAATTTCTACACTGTGCAAGCTGAGGGCTGTCTATCCTGGGGTATTCTTTCCTTTTTCTTTGCCATTAACTTAGTAATTATGAGAGCGCCCACCAAGTCATTTTGCAGGTCCTCCTCCTTACGGACCATCAAATGCCCCCTTCCTCATAACACGCGCATCTGTCCTCTTGCCTTTGAAATCTTCCCGTGGCTGCAGTTCCTGGGCAGAGTCCCCTGCCAGGGACTCTAGCAGCTGCGGGTCACTGCAGTGTTGGCTGAGTGTGCTCTTTGTTACCCTCTCTCTCCCACCCTTCCACCCCTTGTCTGTCTGTCTGTCTGTCTGTCTGTCTGTCTGTCTGACTGTCTGTCTGTCTGTCTGTCTGTCTGACTGTCTGAGATTTCGGCTCACTTAGGCCATCACACCTGGACTGCTGTCTGGGGACAATGTGGCTGGTTTTCACGTCATTCTTTCTCAGATGGCAATGTCATTATTGCATGGCCCAGGCCTGTGCCCTCCCATCTTCACATGAGAGGTCTTACGTTATCAGAGAATGTTCACAGTACTAGGGAACTAGTGTCCCACCCAGATCCAGATGTCAGCAGAACAGACAGATGTTTTCACCTGTAGCATGAGAAAGGCTCACTATCGGGGTTAAGATGTGATGTCCCTTAAGAGGGAACCTGAAAACTATAGACAAAATGTATGATGTTGTAATGCATGAACAACAACAGGTCCAGTTGCTATCTGGGAACAAGGACAAGATATATATATTCTGACTTCACTTTATATAATGCATAAGGTCCTGGATCCCCTCTCTCTCTCCTCGCTCTCTCTCTCTCTCTCTCGCTCTCTCTTTCTCTCTCTCACAGTTGCACCTCATTCCTCTTTGTGAATTTTCCTAACACGTTATCCAGGAAAGTTTTTCATAAAGTAGCACATGAAATCCATCACTCCTGAGATCCATCTGCCACGCCTCTGAGAAGCAAACACAAGCCGCCAGCTGTTCTGTGTGGGTTCATTCCCAGGGCTTTGTTGGGGGTGTGGATGCCTGTTCTCACAGCCTTTAATAGACGATTTCATGCCTCTGTATCACCCCAGGTGGTCAAGGCCATGGGGATAAAGCAGGCTTTGGATCTTTCTGGCTGTGGATTCTGCAGGATGTGCTGTGAGAACAATGTGCACTGAGCTTTCCAGGACCAGACTCCCGTGGAGCCTGCAGGAAGTTGGTGATCATCCACAGATGCCCTTCACAGCTCAGCTTTGGGGGTGCAGGCTCAGCAGCGGACAGTGGTGCTGGTGAGTGGGGGGGGTTAAGGATTTCAGACTTAAGCTTTCGTCTTTACATGGCCAGTGAGCCAAACATCTCCCTCTGGGGATGTCATAAAACTGGTGGACCATGGTTCGCAGGGGATCACTAGGCACTCAAGCACAGAGTGTGCAGGACGCTGGGCGGAGTAGTAAGAACGGTGATTCTCCGCTTCCATGTCATCTGCGGCCATCAGGGACTGTCAGTGGAAGCCTAAGGGGGAAAAGCAAGGCCAGACTCCATGGGCAGAGTGTTTATAGCTCATCTCCTTATCTCGCCATCAGAAAAGTCATGACTCTGTCGCAAGCTCAAGAGCCAAATGGATAGCGCTGTTGCGTCAGCGAGCATGGAAAAGCCTTAGGTCTCGATCACACCAACTCAAGTTGGACCAAGTAGAGTGAGCGCAGTCTTTGGAATACACGCGGACATTTCTCATAGATCCCATGGAAAGGAAGGTCCACCATTATTGTGACATATTACTAGTAAATTCGGGGGGGGGGTCCTTAGGAATCGAAAGTTTCTTCTTCTCTAACTTATAATCATTGTTCCAAGTCATTGTCCTTTGCTAAAAGAATTTAAGATGAGATTATACTTATGTATGGAGAGGTGTGGGGTTACAGATTTTTTTTTTCACTTCAGGATCTTAACCTGGCCTTTGCTACCTTGAGCTTTGCTTCTACCAAAGTGTCTCTCCCTGGATCTTAGCCTGCTAGTAGTGGGCTATGAAACCAGATTAGTGGGCATGATAAAAATAAAATTAAAACAGTCTCAGAAATACCATATGTAGTGATACAGTTTGTTTTAAGGAAACAATGTACAGAATCTTCCATTGCAGAAGACCATGATGAAAATGGAAAACCCTGTGGAAACAAGATGTCAAATATCCCCTGGTGATTTCTTATGTTTTTGGTTGTGAGTCCAGCCTTTAATGGCTGAGCCACTCACTCTCCAGCCCAGCCCCTGGTGATTTCTTTAGGGTAATCGTGCTGGGCATGTGCGACCCCCTCCAGTGGAGAGTGTGGGCTTTGGAACCCTGTGTGATGACAAATCAATGAAATGGGAGGCTTAGTTATGAATGCTGCAGGAGGGCGGAAATGGATCCATGACGTATTACATAAACCAGCGTCTTCCCCTACACTTACCCATGCCACCCGTTCTAGCTATCATTTTCCGTTTGCCTTCCTGGAGAACAGCTACAGACTAAAGCCTCTGCTTCCTGTACCGGCTTCCCTGACTTCTCTTGACTCCTCTGCTCAAAAGCAACCAGGCTTTTGCTCCCACGATTCCATCGACACTCTCTGGGATGATGCCACTAACTAGCTGCCTCTGGCTAAGTTGAACGGCTTTCAGACACCATTCTGTATGATGTTTAAAACACTCACTGATTGCTCATGCATGCACGCATCCATAAATACATACACATGTTTTAGATGGGACTTCTGGCTTAGTCATTGTTCTATGGCTGAAGAGACACCATTACCAAGGCAACTCTTATAAAAAAAAATTCTTAATGTATTTAGGGGCTTTTAAACTTAATTTTAATAAATTAATCTTAATTAAAAAGCTATTTAATTGGGGGCTTGTTTACAGTTTTAGAGGCTATGTCCATGACCATCGGGGACGGGGTGGGGGTGGGGGAGAACGTGCAGGGCACTGGAGTGTTAGCCGAGAGCTACGTCCTGATCCACAGTCAGAAAGAGAAACACTGGGCCTGCTGTAGGCTTTTGAAACCTCGAAATCATTCCCAGCAACACACTTCCTCCAGCAAGGCCATACCTCTTAGTAATTCTAATCTTTTCCAACACTTCCACTACCTGGTGACTGAGCATTCAAATATATGGGCTTATGGGGGCCATTCTTCTTCAAACCACCACAGTTTTACCATGTGAGTCCTGGCTTGTCTAGGGCTTCCCAAGTAGACCAGGCTGGCCTTGAACTCACAGTTATCTGCCTGCCTGTGCTTCCTGGGTGCTAGAATTAAAGATATGCATCACCATGCCTGGCCATTGAGAACAGTTTTAATAATGGAAGAAACGTAATAGTATGCGCTGAATAAATGTCCTGTTGACGGTGCTGCCTACTGTCTGAGGGACAGTACCGTCTACTGTCTGGGGGTCTTGAATTCAACTAAGGCTGTAGGCTTGGGTACAGCAGCTGGATCTGCCTGACAGCCAGGGCTCCCCTTCGTCCTCACAATGCAGCTCTTTGAACGGAGCCTCCTGTTTCTCTAACTTTGCTGTCTTGGTCCCTTCAATCACCTCCCCCACCCCATCTGAGTAACACAGATGATTCCAAACCTATCTGCGACCCAGCCTCTCTCCTGAACCGCCAGCATGTTGCTACTGTCTTGCCTCTGCTGGATGTCCTGGAGAAAGGTAAGAATTAAGCAAACTGCAAGAGAATTATCTTGGCCTAAAACCTCATTTTTGTCATTACACGGTATCACTTTGGGTGACCTCAAGAAGGGTGAGGAGGGAAGGCAGGCCTGTGACTCGCTGTGCCAAGCACACGCCCATTCATAGTGTGTGAACACGTATTTTTGAATGAAGAAATTATAGAAATCCAGTTTACGGAAAGGGAATGAAGAAACAGAACAATTAGTCCAATTAATTCATCATAGCCTATCAACAATGAGTCTTTGGCTGTCAGTCTTGCAGACAAACTCATTAGCATAAACTGTTTTTGTCCTGGTTCCTAAGGGGGTTTCTTTTCACTCTGTTCATAATATTTCCTATTGAAAACTTAATATAAAGCATAAATAAATTGCTACCAAGTTCTGCTGTTCAGCAGTGGTGCCTCCACGGTTGGAATGAGAAAATTCATTACTGCAGTTCAATAATTCTCTCCCCATCCAAATGAGAGCAGGACTTAGTCTGCGTTCTAGACTCGGCTGGCCTCTATCATTACACCTGGCACTCTGGGATCCTCATAAATATTTTAGTTAGTAAATGGAAGGAGGAGGAGGCAGGAAGAGTTAGAAGAAGAACATATTTTCAAGGAAGAGTAGGTAGTTCACGTTTGGTCCTCTGGATTCTTAGGTGTCCTTTGGCACCTGCCAGTCGACAGAAGAATGCTGGTAGCCAGAGGGTGCCTTACAAGGATGCAGTGAATACTTCCAAGGAAGTCTCTTTGAACAATGTTAATAGAGAGCTAATGCTTTGTGATAAGGTCTTTGTACTCTGCACAAAAGGTACAGCTTCTTACATATTGAGGGGAAAGTATAATTTGTGGAGGGAAAAAGAATAAAGAAAAACAATGAAAGCAAAATGTCTGGAGAGAGCGATAGATAGCTCAGCAGCTGAGAATGTGTGCTGGTTTTGCAGAGAGCCTGAGTTTGGTGCCCAGCATCCATGTTGGGTACCACACACACATATACACAAACCCACATGCAGATACATTTGAATAAGAGCAATTAAAAACCAAAAACAAGGATCTAAAATAGTGGCTGCAGGGATTAAAACCAGGTAAACCCTGCCTCATTTGACAGATGCTGAAACTAGCAAAGAAATCGCGCATGTTAGTTGTCTCAGAGTGGTTTTCAGACCTTTGTTTAATGGCTTTTTGGGAGCTATCTAGGTCTTGGGATTCTGGACGGACTACCCCACATTTACAAGTACCTACATGCACTCAGAAAGGAGTGTGGCATTCTAGCACAGATATTTAATAGCGCCCGTGTTCATGCCTATGGTCCTCAAACGCCACTCCTAAGACACTATGCTCACAAAACAACGGTGTGCACCATGGGATTCACAAAAGCTCGAGGAAGAACCGAAAACAAAATAAGACACCCAAACAACAGCAACAAACCGGAAGGAGACAGCTAGGTGAAGAGTTAAATCCATCCTGAATACATATCCACCAATGACGTCTGCCTGAAGAGTCAGCGAAAACACAGACATTGTATGAGATAATGCAAAGCTCAAGGCAGACTATAAAGTAACTACAGGCAGCCTGACTATGCCAGAAAGAGAGAGAGAGAGAGAGAGAGAGAGAGAGAGAGAGAGAGAGAGAGAGAGAGAGAGAGAGAGAGAGAGAGAGAGACAGAGAGAGAGAGAGAGAGAGAGAGAGAGAGAGAGAGAGAGAGAGAGAGAGAGAGAGCCTTATTAAGGAGGAAAACAGACCAATAGGAAACACTGGTTCCCAATGGTGCTAGCTGGGCAGTAAGGAGGTGAGTTGGTTTTCTTTTTGGGTCTGTTTTCTTCCTATAGAAACTGACAGCATTTTTGTGGGCTTTCAATACTAAAAACATAAATTCACTTTTTAATCTAACAACAACCCAGTGGGCTTTAACACTCTTAGATTAGATATAAAAATATGAACGTTAAGACAGCATAAAGATTAAGTAGCACAAAAAAAAAAATTTCAGGCGAGTACTCGGTCTGGATTGGATCAAGGAAGATACCTCATCGGAACAAAATGATACTATTCAGTTTCGGTTTTTCAATCGAAAGATAGCTTATTCTAAAAATAAGATGTTAAAATCCAATGGTATCTCCTTTATCTCTCTTAGAAAATCAGTATCGCTGTGTGGAAGACATAGGAGGCCCAGGCAGAGATGGCAATAACGGCAGCTGGGAGGGTCTGGTCGGGGTACAGAGAGCTCGGTGGGACCCACCTCCTCCGGAGTCTTGCTGGTATAGTTCCTCCTGGCAGTCTCCTGGAGCTCCATGGCTTGCTGGATGTACATTTTCCCAACCAAGATTTCATTTTCCAGAATGGACAGCTCTTTCAACGAAATGGGCCAATTCAGGCGTTCCAGAGCTTTGTTTAAAACAGCCTTGTTTTCCAAGTATTGAATGGGCTTGATGGCATCCAACCTGAGAGATAAAGAACAGCATCAACAAAATGAGAAGGATCCCCTGCTGACACAGACATCAGACGGCATCAGTGCGGGCCGAGCCTGCAGGTCCACCCCTCCACTCCCCAAAGCTCCCACTTCTCAAGGCTAGTCATAAGGAGAAACTGTCCTTGGAAATGAGTGGAATACAAGCCTGGGCACTGATCAGAGCCATGGCGCTACGGCAGCCCCTCGATTCCATCAGCTGGTGACACAGGCGTCTTAGATTACGTTCACATGGGGTTGGGGGGCAGACTGCCTAAGGACACGTCTGTCAGCATGTATAGCTAGAGTCAATGAATTATCATATCTGGTGTTTTGTTGTTGTTGTTGTTTTTGTTTGTTTGTTTGTTTTTTGCTTTGAGATAAAAGTCTCCTTGTGTGGGCCAGGCTGGTCTCAAAGTCATGTCTCCCCAGAACTAGGATTATGGGCAACCACCATCACGCCCATCCAGCGACCAAGGGTGAGGACACAGGGAGGTGGGAAGGCTCGCAGAGCTGGTAGGAATGTGAAGGGGTGGGTCTGCTGGCAGCAAGCCAGGACCCTTCTCAGACTCTGAAGCACAGAATTATCATGTGATGAACCTCTCCTTGCTATACATGCTAGAGAAATAAAGGTGTGTCCACACGGAAACATCCACGCCAGTGAGCATAGCAGCTTTAGTCATAACAGCAAAAAAAAAAAAAAAAAAAAAAAAAAAAAAAAAGGAAAGAACTGAAATGTTCATTAGTGGGAATAGATAATCAGTGGTGTGTGTGTGTGTGTGTGTGTGTGTGTGTGAGAGAGAGAGAGAGAGAGATAACTTCCTTAGTGCATGCATATGCGTATACATATACATGTGCATATATGTTTTCATGAGCTCTGAAAATATTAGGTTTCCCCATTAAGTAATAGAAGATGAAACAGAAGTGCCCATGTGAGCTTCCTTTCACATGTTATATCCAGACGGACAGACAGATTTCATGGAAACAGGAAGCAGACTGGAGTCAGCTGTGGCTGGAGAAGACAGCAAAGAGGAATAATTGCTTTATGGGTACGAAGTAATCTTTTTCTGGGGTGATGAATGTCTGGGGGGAATTACATACTCTAAATACCACTGGACCATATGCTTTAAAATGGTTGATTTCGTTTATGTGGATTTCATTGGCATTTCAAAAACTGAGGCAGGAATGGAATGACTTACTTCTCTTTTTCCTCTTGAGACAGAGCTTGCCAGACGATTTTATTTAAGCGTCTGTTGAAAAAAAAAAATACAATAACAATAACTTAGGAGCAATAACATGTTTTAAGTTAAAAAAAAAAAAAAGTTGACTTCAGGCTCTGAGAGGGATTGCAAAGGGAAACCTGCCAGCTGCCAACCATTATAGGACAGTACCACGGCCACTCACTCACAGAGATCTCACAGGCACATCTCCCTGCTAAGCAATACTGAGGCAGCCTTGTGGTTGGATGGGAGTAGGGTCAAGCGCTAAGGAAGTCTTTCCTCTCACAGGAAACACTGTGAGCAAGCCGGTCCTCACCATGTCTGCATTAGGAAGGCTTCTCATGGGCAGGCAAGGTGGTATCTAGTAGGAAAAGGTGCTTGCTGCCAAATTTGATTTCCCAGGACCCATATGGTAAAAAAATACAACCTGACCCCCTCAAGTTCCCTTCCACATACACATTGTATACTAACACACACACACACACACATACACACACACGCATGCACGCACACACGCACACACTCATGCACACCCTAAAAGCAAATACAAATGCAATACAAATATTTTAAAAATCAGTTTCAGGGACTACAGATTTGTTCCTAAGGAGAATGTAAGCATCCTCAGCTTGCCTTCTGGATACACTCTTCTGCCTGGGTTCTGAGAGCAAAGGAAGCTAACGCGAGCATCAGATATACATTCAGGGTTCACGATACAAATCATCCAGCCTAACTAACCACCTTGTTTTCTGGATGGCAGCACAAAGATGGGCAGCCTCAAATATCCACCTGGCTGGCTCTCAGTAGGAGACTGAGGCCCCTCACTGGCCATAGTCTCAGGGAAAATCCACCTGCCCAAGGGGAAAGGAGTTGGAATAGCGGATCCTTTCCTTGTGACCAATCAATGATGCTTCTGTCAATGGATTCAGCCCAATCGGTGACACTATGCCATCACCTCGGACTTTGTGGACAGCAGGAATCGGAACATTGGCTGCAAAGCTTGTGGGGTAGGAAACTGCCTTCCACAGGAAGTGCCTTCCTGACCACTGAGGCTCTGCCCTGCTTGCCCACCATGAGCCTGGAGGGGCTGGGAAGGCTCATGTGGGAGAAGAAGCCATAGTAATGGGGCCCAGACCTGAGTTTCTCCCATTCCCATGAGACTTTGGGCTAGGATGGAGTCAACTTTTCTGTCAACTCGGGGTGACAAGAAGATCCCCCCCCATTGCAGTTATGAGGACTCTGTGCATAGCTTATGTAGTGTGTCTGACATTGGCAAAGACCCTGTAAGTGATGGCAAAAAGTCAGGAACAGTGGGGGCTAGAGAGATAGTGTGGCCATTAAGAGCTCTTGTGGCGCCTACAGCTGGCCCCGGTTCGGTTCCCCAGCATCCACATGATGAATCACAACCATCCATCACTTTATTTCCATGGCAACGGATGCCTTCTTTTTTACCTCCGCAGGCAAATCACTCATAAAATAAAATAAATGGGTATCAAACAGAAAGAGTCAGGGAAGAGGGAATTAGGCCAGCTAGTGCTTTGGTCTTATTTGAAGGGTTTGGCTCTTTGGGTCCCCTTAGGAAATTAGGTTTCTTTGGTCACTCGGTTCGGGTGACAACGATCAGGGCTTCTAAGACTGTCTAGCTTCCTGTGCTTTTCTTAAAATACATTCAACACTCTCTTCGATCTAAACTTGAAAGCGGGCTCAGGGTAGCTCGGAAGCTGGGAGGGCAGAAAAGGACTTTAGCGCAGCACCCAGCCCCACCTGGGCGCTATGTGACCCTGCTGGATGGGACCCTTTGAAGCTCTGCTTTCTCGGGGATAAAACAAGGCTAACAGCACCCTTCTGTGGCTTTGAGAGGACGCAGGGGGAGACATGTAAAGTGCCAAGGATGTCTCACTGTTCCTCTCCTCTGATGACTCAAAAGGGTGAGCCTAGAAACATGGGAGAGCACTGGTAATGTGTGTGGGTCCAGTGGGTCCAGTTAGCTAGCGTGGATCGAACTTGAACTCAATACTTGAGAAAATGTTTCCCAGGGACACATATAACATCTGTGTCTACGTGTTTTGCAAAATTTCAGTGCTTTATTGAGTCGGTGCAGTGATTACGGTGAAGCCACCAGGAGTATGTGAGGACCATCCTCCCCACTCAAGGCCCCTGGAGGGCATTGAATGTGAGGGCTTTTCTGAAGCTGGCCCAGCCCCTTAATCCTGACCGCTGCTTTGCACCCACTGGATGCCATAGCTCCAGCTCAAGCAAGAAATGACTCATCTACAAAGCAACGTGTAACTACTGGCACATCATAAATCCGACCAGCAAGAAAGAGGAGACCTTAAATAGAGTCTCAAAGCACGGCCCCAGAGCCAGACTAGAACTGAGGCTTCTCCCCTCCCGTGGATCCGAGGACTGTGATCTTGACTTTGACAATCAAAATAAGCTGCAAGAGAAAACCCTGACTCTGAATTTAGGCAGCCCTAGGAACATCCACAAAGCCCAGACTCTGGTAATGCTGGACCAGAAGGACAGCCACCCGTGGACACGGTATCTAAAAGAGATCCTTTACGTCATCCTGTGAACTTCCGTTTGCTTGGTCTCTTCCTAGCTTAAATGGACTTATGGATGAACAATACCATTTATTTTCAAAGTGACACTGGCTTGCTTTGGAGAAAAACATCAGGGATGCAATGGTGGATGTGAAACTATTTATGTGTCCACTACTCATCATTCGCACAGGACGAGAAAGTTGTGCATGATGAAATACAAAAGAGAGGGTTGATGCTTATGCAAACAAAATTCTTCAGTGCTATTGAGCTCAAAGGCTTGGGGAGTCTTTGTCCTATTATAATATTATTACTGTTAATACTACTGAACTATTATCAAATAATTCAACACACACACACACCACACACACACACACCAAAGCAATAAACTCACTACTAATTAGATGAATACACTCAAAATATTAAACATAGGCCACACTAAAGCTTTGTCACTAATGTAAAAATTATTACTGAAAGCATACATTGAATATCTCTAACCCATGAACTTTTGGAATTTTATATTTTGAAATATATTTGCATGTACATAATGAGATATTGTAAGGATGGGACCCAAGTCCAAACACAAAATTTATTTACCTTTCCTGTCTCCCTTGTGCACACAACCCAGAAATAAATTTATGCACAATTATTAGTGCATGTACCAACATTTTAACTGTGGTCTTTCACATGGGACCAGGGATGGAAGTTACTGTAAATGGTATCATTGCAGGCACTCAAAAACGTTGGAGTCTGGAGCATCTGAGGTTTGGAATTTTTAGGAGTTTTTGCTCAACTTGTAGGAACAGTACTCCTCTAGCATGAGCAGAAGAGTTTTTCAGAGTTACTTTCAGGGACAAATCACTTACTCTGTGATTTGAACTTTTTTTTCCTCAAGGGAATGCTGTTCTGCCTGGTAATAGGGTCCCCTTCCTTTCCGAGACCCACAGGAAAAGGTCAGCATAGCAGAAAGGATTAAGGGACTATTATGCTACAAACAGTCATGGCTATTTTAGGAGCGACAGATTTGGGATGGAAGGCAGATCCATTTGGAAGGCTTCTTGTGTGTGTTTACCTCTATCATCATTCTAATTCTTGCCCTTCAAGGGTCCCCAAAGTGTGTACACTAAGGCTTAATTCTAGGCAGGTGTGCAGGTCATGGGCAAGGGTAACAGCCAAGCCACCTGTCCCTGAGGAAAGTCTCTACCTTTTGAACTGTTTGAGTATAGAATTCCTTCTGTAGTCAACTTAATCAGCGTCTTGATACAAAAACATTAAAAAATAATAATCTATATTTACAGAGTTACCCCTCAGTGTTCATGGGGGACCGGTCCCAAGACACCCCATTTACAGCTACAAATTTCTCAGGGTCACGGACACTCAGTTCCTGCATGTCAAAAGCTATTGCATTTGCGTATAATCCAGGCATACCTTCCCAGATACTGTAAATCACATGCAGATTGCTCATAAGACCCAAGATCATGTAAATGCTGTCTACATACTTGTTTTGTATTTGGAGGGATGCGACAAGAAAGCAAAATCTGCCCAAGTTCAGGTTAGACGTCATGTTTTTTTTCCTGGTTATTTTTACTCTGTGGGGTCTGAGCAGGAGAAGCAGCTCTGTCTCTACTGTGGGGTTTGTTAGTTACTTTTCAAAGTGTTAAATGCCAACATGACCAAATCCACTCACTGCATGAAGAGGAAGACTTGGAAGTTTTCCTGGAAACACAAGACATCTACAGAGTTTAGGACGGGAAGGTGGCTTTTTGAAGCTGTTGGAAAGGTCAGCTTTCAGGAGTCCTAACTCAGCACCCAGCAGGACCACACGTGCGTGAGCCATCCCTTTGTGTTGATGCTGGGCCTCTTAAAAACTGCAATCTCAGATGAACCAATCTGAGCTAAAACAAGGTAAAAGAAGCCAAACCCGATTATCTGTCAGGAGCATTTGGGAATAATACTCACTTCTCATAGGATTTAATAGCCTGTTCCACGTTTTGCTTGTAGATATTGAGTTTGACTCCTTGGGGGTTTATCAATATCATCTTACTGGTGTTGTTACCCACATGTGCCAGAGGGGACACCTACACAGAAATGTCAGCAGAAAGTAAAGTGTCACTTGATGGGTTCATGCAAGCCTTCAAACGTACGTTTACACGGGTACATGCTTTCCTGACTATAAAAACCACACTGAGCATAGAAAAGTAGAGTGTAGTAAATCTTAAAAGAATAAGAGATATAATTACTAACCTTTCTTTTTCATTTTTTAAAAGCTGTGCATTTTGAAAATTAGCACCATAAAAACAACAGAAGAAAACCCAAAATTGCCATTACTGAGTATTATCTCTAGAAGCATGTGTGTTTGTGTGTGTTCATATAAATAATTATGTTTTGCTTGTGTGTATGTATGTGCACCTCATGCATGTCTGGTGTCTCTGGAGGTCAGAAGAGGGTGTCAGATTCCCTGGAACCAAGTCTATGGGTGGTTAGAAATTACCATGTGGGTGTCGGGAATCAAATCCAAGAGCCAACAGGTGCTCTTAACCACCGAGCCATCTCTCCAGCCCCAAGAAATTACTCTTAATGAGGAAACCATTTAACTTTCAATCTAGGCGATGCACTTCATGTTATGTTCCCCAGCTTCTAAAATTCTGCAAAAATATATAATAAGAAACCAGTGCAAAGGAAGGAAGAAACTAAATGTGGATATAGTTATAAAAATTGAAGTGTGAACAAGCTGACGCTGTGGGTTGCTGGTTCTGTGTCCAGGGCTAACACAGCAGTGGGTGTCCAGCTCCTGGAACTGGGACTATGAATGTTCTGGAGAACAAGGGTCCACACTGGGCTCAGTGGCCAAAGTTAGTCCTGTGTAAAGGCCACCCCTCCTTGGGAGAAGGAACTGACTAGCAAGAGTGGACATTCACATAGCCTCACAACCAAGGAGCAAGCCTTGAGGAGTATCAGTGTATAAATACCTCCTACATTGCCGTTATCTACTGCAAGGAAGAAATCGTTCTTCACCCTTTCTTAGCTGGGCTCGTTTGAGGCTTTGCACTCTACCGAGATGAGAACCTATAGTTTGGGTTTAATTAGGCTGTTCCAAGACATACAGGAACTTACTGAAATCCTAAGTGGATGCAAGAAGTTCTGAATCTTGGAAGAATCTTGGAAGAATGACATTGGAACTGGAACAAAGACATAATCTTCATAGATTGAACAAAGTTGGAACTAGGCAGTCCCTTAAAAAGGCCTTGTGAAGTGGGTGATGCATAAAGACCTCCCCCACAGACAAAAACACGGATAAATGGGTAATAGAGAGGGGAATATGTGGACAGGCATTGAGACGCGTCAACGTATAGTAATAGGAATGTCAAAAGAACAGAAGCAAAGAGGAAGGTCATACAAGAAGCAACATTTGACTGTGTGTGTGTGTGCTTGCACGCACATGCATTAGCTTCACAAATGGTGGCTTTATCTAAGTGCTAAACCATAGGAGAGATGGAAAAGACACCATTTGTTAACAATTGTCATTGGTGCTGGTCGAAGTTAAGCTGTTTGACTTTTTAAAAATGGGCCAGACACAATCTGTCTGTATGATTTGGGGAAGGGGGCAGGGTCTGTGACCTAGTCCAGAGGGCGCAGCTGTTCGGGATCTTTTCCACTGTTCTGCCCCCAGGAGGGATAGTCTGCAGGTTCAGCTGCTAACCTGTCTAAAGATATAACACCAGCCTGGCCTCCCAAACTCCATTTTCAGTCCCCAGAATACAGGTTGCACCATTTTGAATATTTTTTAACATAGTAGTTTTAGGTTGGAAGCAAGGTTTAGTATTTTAGTATTGAGGAATATACAAAAACTCAGGTTAAGGATTATCTTTGGGGAAGGGGGAGAGGAAATGATAAAAAAACGGTGACATGGGGGTCCTTTACATTACTTGTAATTCCTTACCTACCTTTACAAGTGTCTAAAACAAGCTGGGCAGTGGTGGCGCACGCCTTTAATCCCAGCACTCAGGAGGCAGAGGCAGACGGATCTCTGTGATTTGAGGCCAGCCTGCTCTATAGAGCAAGTTCCAAAATAGTGAGGGAGATACAGAGAAACCCTGTCTCGAAATAACAAATCAAAACAAGTGTCTAAAACATGTATAACATTGGGTTTTAAACTATCAAAAGTAGTTAGGTCTAAAACTTGGGAGTTACAGGAGATAGGCAAGATGATTTTACTGTGTAATTCTTTCAAACTATATATATTCACTCTCGAATTAAATCATTAGGGTCCACATAAGCAAAACAGGCAAAGGTTTAAAGAATGGAAGAGAAAAGGCATGAAAAGCTTTGGGGTTCAACCAGCCACTTAGAAACCAGAGTCAGCATGTGGCTCCTGATCATTCCTTTCAAAGGGAAGGAAACAGAACAGGGTGTTAAAGGTGAAATGCCTGGGCTTTGAAACTGAAGATTGCATAAGTTTGTAAAATAAAATAAAATAAAATAAAATAAGACAAAATAGAAGAAAAAGAAAGAAAGAAAGAAAGGAAGAAAGAAAGAAAGAAAGAAATTCCTCAAAATAGGACAGTATCACAAAAACTTGACAGGAAAAAAAAAAATCAGTGCCAACACAAATGAAAGACATTTACGTTTTCTGTGACCTGGTAGGAAAGTACCCCTTTAGAAGCCTGTATATGTCTCTCCTAGTTTACCAGCTTAGAGTTCAATGATAACTCAGTATTTTTTTTTTTTTTAAATGCTCAGTCAAAATCTTGACTGGTCTTCACCTACGTAACCACAGGCAGATTCACACCATACTTCCCTCTTTGGTGGATCTAGATCTCATGCCTGGGGTGGCCATCAGGGACTCAAGCGTAGTTGTTCAGATTCGACGTGTGTGCACACACTCTTGTTCCCTTCTGCACGCAGGCTCGGGGGGACACAAAGGCATACTCCACAACTTCAGTCTTTGGTCTTAGTTTTTACAACATGGTGGCTTCTTGGAGGTCACATGGCCCACCTTCTTTATGATGTCAAATTTAGTGTCACAAGGGACATTCCAGGCCGTAGGGGATCACAGTCAGAGGGGGAGTGATATGAGCTTCAGGAAGAAGCTGAGGGCTGATTGAGAGGGAATAAAGGCTACGATCCCAGTCCCTTGAAAATGATTTCCTTAGTACTTTTTAAACTCAGCCGGGGGTGGGGGGTCCTTCCAGGTGAGATTTGGTAATAAGAAGCCGCCTAAGGCATCCTCTATTTTTAGTTCTCTGAGGCAAAACTATAGTCCTCACCAAATTCATATTAAAAACCAATCTTCAGTGACAAGGTTTTAACTATAAGAGGTAGACCAGAGGGCCATGTGGGGTGTGGTTTGTGGCAATGGGGAGGAAAATGGAGATGGATAGAAGGAGAGACAGAGCATAGAGGTAGAAATTTCTAGAATTCATGGTGTAGCTCCAGCTGGCTATACACCTGCAGCTGTTATCTTGTGTAGCCTCCTGAATGCTGGGAATATAAAAATCCTCCTACAGTTGAAAGCAGGAAAATGTTATTTAAACAACATTCCTGGTCTCTTTGTAGCTAATATGCCTATCAGCTAAATGATGAGATGAATAGATAACTTCCCAAGTTGCTCTAAGATTTAGGGCAAATACTTTAATGACATCGAATACTTTTCTCGGAGCCTAGTACATGATTGAAGCATTCATCATAGAATAGATCAGGGACCTTGCCATGTTCCTCTAGAAGTAAATGACAGAGATGTTGTACTAAGGCACAAGGCTATGCATAGAGACCCGAGGACAAGGCAGAAGGCCTTTATGGGAGGAGGAGGAGGAGGAGGAAGGAGGAGGATGCTGTCAGCTCTGCAATAATGCAGGCTAATCTTCCCAAATTATTCCAATCTCTTTTTTAAAAGCAATTGTCAATACAGAGCTCCGAATTCTAGGCTCATCAAATGGCTAAAACAATTTTATTCTGTGTATGGCTTAGAGATGAATTCATCTTTTTGAAAGAGCTAAGATAAAATAATTTGGTCCATTTTATATCTTATAATGAAGAGTTGCTAGGGCAACCTTTCTGCCTGGTACTTCATTTCCAAGGTGACAGACTTGCTGCTGATCCAGGGAACTGGTAAGCAAAAGAGAATTGAGCCTCTGGAGGAGAAAGATTCTCCCAAGTAAGCCATGAATGAAACAAAGATTTCTTACAAAGCCACACACTGCTTCCTGGCCCATACAGACGCTGCCTGCCATGCATTGAACAGAGGAGAGCCAGTTCAAATTCTCAGTGCAGGGAGATTAGATTCTGGCCCACCTGCCTGCCAGCTCCAACTGTTTCACAAGACGCTCATTTCAAACTCAGAAAGGGTCTCTAATAAGCTAGGAGACATGTTAGCGTATTTCATAGCTGAGGGTCTCTTCCAGTCTAAGGAACTATTAGGGAACAAAAGATACAAACAGAAGGCATTTGAAATTTGCTCTTGGGGTCATTTTGCAGGCGCGCACTACATTATTAACTACTAAAGTTGCACTGCTGTGTGGTAGATCTCAAAACCCATTCCTCCCGTCTGTCTAAAACTTTGTGTCCTTTGACTAACAGCTGCCCATGTCTTCCTCTCGGGCCCCTCCACTGCAGCCTCAGCAACCAGCACTCTCCCCTGTTCCTAGGGGCCCCGCCTTTCCAGACTCTACATATAGGGGGCCTGGAAAGATGGCTCTGTAGTTAAGAGCAACTGTCGTTCTTGCAGAAGACCCTGGTTCAGTTCCCAGCAACCATGTCTGGTGGCTCACACCCACCTCTGGGGATCCAATGCCCTCCTCTGGGTACTATACTTTCATGCACATACATATAGGCACATATGCATAGAAATACTTTTTTTTTTTTAAATTGCCGGTAAGCAAGGTGATGGATATGCTAATTGGCTCGAATTAATCAAGATATTGTAAACCGATATCAAGTCGTCACATTGTGCCCTGTAAACATATAGTTACGATTTGTCCAAAAAAAAAAAAAAAAAAAAAAAAGCTAAAAATTTAAAGACATAAACTATGCTTTGGAGAGGAGATTGAAATGTATTATGGTTCACCTCTATCATCTAATT